GTGAGCTTACATGTAGTTCCATAGGATGTGTTAATCATACATGCAAACTAGGAAAAGTAATTTGTATATTCTCTTGACAACCTCTTTATTTTCTATTCATTTATTATTTATTAAATCGTAAATTTTCAGTTTTCTATCAGGCAAGTGAAGTCTTATTGTCTCTTTCACAAAGTAGTCTGCAGCCTTTAATACATATACTTACATGTAGGTTGTCATTTTTGTTGTTGTTATAGCGTTGGCCAATTTTAGCTTCTCCTATCCAAACGTGTCTGGTCGGACTGTGGTGAGTTTTGCTAATTTCATGTAATTTAATTGCTAATTTAATTGCAGACCAATCTAAATGTCTTAAGCAGATACATTGTAGGCTCAGGTGAGAGTTATTGTTCCATAGTACTTTCTAGCTGAACATACACTAGAACCTTATTTATATTAGTACAGTACATGCCTAGGGTTATATCTTTCGCCTTGTTCTTTCCCTGCTAGTAAAGAACAGCATTCAAGAAAATTAATTTTCTGTTTCGTCATTGTACAATATATATATTTTTTTAGTTTTTCAGGCATATAAGAGTCATCCAATCAACACTTATTCAGTCACAATTTTAGTATATTTTAACTTTGGCTTCTTATTATTTTTCATCATCCTCACAGCTTGGTGTTTGCTACTCCTTTATGTTGTGCAATCTTCCCACAAAGAAGGTTAGTTTATTTTGTTTTGAACATAAAAATTACTCTACTGTACGACCAAGCTAATCATCCCTGTGACAAGTTTATTTCCCAATGACGAGTGTTGTTTCTGTGACGTCTGTTGTCCTTGTGATTATTTGATCGGGTTATGTCCTTGTAATGCGTGTCAGAACTCTGGCTTGACTCTAGTGTTTAAAAGCACACCTTGGACACTATTGTGTCAAACCACATCTCTTATTGTACCACTTGATTGATAGAATTGGATTTGATGTTCATCCTTTACTTTTGTAGGGGGGATTAGCATCCTTTCAAACCATATACCCATACGAGCTTGATTCAGCCAGGCAGACTAAGGAAAATGCAAAAAGTTATATACCACTAACTTGGACTAGAGAATTTGAGTAATAATGAACTTTTCCCACGGCGTGCTTGTATTTACGTGTTCTTTAAAATGATTTCAAAATCCTTGTCTGGCTTTTTTGCAGAAACATATTGTATTACAAAAATAATGTATATTGTGAATGGTGAAAAAAAGGGAGAAAAGGAAGGAAGAGATGTCAAAAGAGGAAATTAAGTAAGAGGGGAGGTAGCAAAGGTGTAAGTCTTGGGGCCAGCATCGCTTTTTGCTTTCTGTAAATGTGTGTCCAGACCTTAGAATTTCAATTTGGCATTGGAGACATAAGCTAATATGAATGCCTGACTTGCAAACAACATTTTGGGTGGTTAGGAGATGTATGTAAGCAGAAAATGGTTTGACTAGCTGGAAATAGCATTTTTCACCAAAATCCCCAGTGGAGAATGGGTTTACACTGTAAGTTGAAAACAAACCACAGGAATAAGAAACCACGTGGGTGAAAGTGTAAGGCAGGCAAAGTGGCTCTGCAGTCTAAAGATTTTGTAGACTAATTTTGATTCCTTTTGTTGCAGTTCTATAGCAGTCTCAAAGCTTGAACCAGAACTCCAAGAAAAGATAAAGAAGAGGGGAGGACCTCCAATGGAATATGTCTACTTCAACAAAGGGCTTTGAAGAAACTTCAATATTAATATTATTTATTGAAAATTAATCAAGATTTTTTATTAGCCCTTTTGGAATTTTGAAATGGTACTATTAGTTTAGGGGATTGTGAGGATTCATAGGCTCAGGAAAACAAATATTAACTCAATTTGGTATTTACAAATTGCTGTCCTTAAGACTGTAGGACTGCCAATGAAATCTGTTTGCTATAATAAAAAAAAGTGTCATAATTGCAATAATATTGTGAATTGTTAAAGACAGCTAGGATTGTTTGATGGAATTTGAGGCCCTGGTTGAGTAAAA